TTTTGGCTGCCAGGTTGGCATTAGAATAGTGGAATCTTGTAAGCTGCAAACGCCCCCCCCAACCCCAGAGAGATGCCACCACATTGTGCTGGGTCTGCTGTTTCCAGCAAAACAAGCTCATGTGTGGTTCACTGCCTTCCCTGGAATGTCCGGGAGCAGGAAGAAGGGGTCCTCCTGCCAGACTCCCCAGTTTCACTCTCTTCTCTTCTCTGGAAAATTTTATCTCATGAAACCTTGTACCTTGCTTTCAGGATGACCAGGAATATTCCATGGAAGCAGAAAGTTAAGGAAGATAGAATGCATGTTGGTGCAGAGAACACCAGTCTCTGAATACTGGACCATAAAAACCTTGTGAGTACACAGCATATTTGTAGAAAAGTCTACGCTGGCAAACACTTCTTGTTGAACTCTTACACTTCTAGCTGGTGATGATTTCCAGCTCTTCCTAATTGATCTGTCTGGAGAGGATGGCAGGGCTTCAAATCTTAAAGCTCAGTTAAAAGGCCCTGGGACACAACCTCCCTCCAAAAAAATACATGCCAGATACCTATATATTGATAGCTTTTTACGAGAAGCTGATACTCACAGCCCTCTATAGCAGTGACTGTCTTCCCAAATATATCTTGCTCTCAGAGAATCAAGGTTGATAATAAATATCAGGGTGTGTGGAGACCAAAATAGTGCCTGTTTGTACAGTGACCGTATGGTTCATTCATTCATTTATTCATGCAGTTACTAAGGCAACAAATATTTATTAAACACCACAGGTGAGCAAGAACATCTATTCAGCACCATGAGGGTTATAATAGGGGATGCAGAATTACTGTTGGGCCACAGAGACAGGCATCTAATCTAGCCTAACTGTTGGGAAGAAGGAATGCCTTCCCGGAGAGGATAACACCTAAGCTGAGATGTGGAAGGTGAGTAAAAACATGTGCAAAAGGCTAGGGCCTGAATCTAAGGAATCTGAAGAAGTTCAGGGTGACTACAAGGGAGCAGTTGCTACATTAAGAAAAGTCTCATTAACTAAGCAAAGTAGGTATTACATCAGATTGAGCTCTATAGGATACCATTGAGGTATTTTTAGAAGGTAAAGGCATGGAAAAAAATGGATGTTTAGAAAGGCTCACCTGGCTGCAGTGTAAATAATTCATGGGAGGGGTGATCTAGGTGTCAGGGGACCCTGTTGAGAAGGCTTTGCATTGACCTGAGACAAAGATAATGAAAGGCACATCTATGTGTTGTCAGTGGAATAGAGAGAATCTGGATGGATTGTGACTTATTTAGGAGATACCATTTAAAATAAAACATGGACATATAAATTATTTCAATTTTAGGTGTTGTGGTAGACTGAGTAATGGCCTCCCAAAGATGTCCACATCCTAATTCCTGGAATCTGTGAATATGTTATTTTATATGGCAGAAGAGATCATGAAGATGTAGTTAAGTCAAAAACCTTGAGATGGGGAAATTATCCTGGATTATCCAGCTTGGCCCAATCTAATCACAAGGGAAACAGGAAGTCAAGAGAGTCTGGGTCAAATAAGATCAATTTGAAGATGCTTTGCTGCTGGCTTTGAAGATGAAGGAGGGGACCAGGAGTCAAGGGAAGCAGGTGGCTTCTAGAATTCAGAAAATGCAATGAAATGTTCTCCCCTACGACTTCAGACAGAACCCAGCCCTGGCCATTCATTTCAGACTTGTGACCACTAGAACTCGAAGATAATGAATTTTTGTTGTTTTAAGCCACTAAGTGTATAGTAATTTGTTGTGTTAATAGGAAACCAATACAGATGGGAAAACTAAGTCCTGGCCCCGAATAGACATGTACTAAGTATGTGTTTAGTTAATGCATGAATGAGGCTTAGACAGGTACAGTAGATTCTTTAAAGTAACAAGGCTTCTAAATTTTCAAACTTACATGAAAAGTTTAAAATCCCCCTTACCTGATAATAGTGGTTAACTCAAGATGTGAAACTTAGGAACAGAAGGAGAAGGGAGACTTATTTTTCACTACAGCTTATTATACTATCCGATTTTGTTACCCTTTGCACATATTGCCTATTTGAGAAAAGTTAATGACCCTTGTCTTCAAGTCTGAGGGATAAGACAAGTGTATAGATCAAAATAGAAAAGAAAGTAATCGGTAACTCAGTGTCACATCTGAAGGTAGTTACTGTAACAATTCAATATTTTTGGATATGCTCAGTTAATTAAATCTGAATTCCAGTGCCTATGGGCTCAAACTACCATCCACCCACTATCTTTCTCTTCCCCTTCAAAGGTTTCAACTCTAAGAATAGTTTGCATCTATACCGCCCTGTCCCTTCTTAGCCCCATGAAATTTGGTGTGTACTCTGCCACAAACAAAATGCTAAGCTGCTCATTCTCATGGGGAAATGATATCAACTCATGAGCAGAGAATGACTTTTGAAGACAAGAGCTAGATTTGAAACCTAGGCTCCACATCAGAGGGACCAAGAAAAATTTATTTAAACTTTCTGAGTCTCAGTTTTTTCATCTGTGAAATGATGTAATATAAGAATTTATTAGTTTATTTGTTGTTTTTAAACAGAATTCAGTCAAGCACCATATGTAAAGCATTTGGCATGATATGTGGCACTCAAAACATTAGTTCAATTTCCCTTTTTAATGCATGTTCTTCCCTTTTCCACAGTAGCCAACGCTTTTATCTCAGGCCTTAGCCTTTCCAAACTTTCTGCAGTATGGAACCACTTTGATCTCTCTTTCACCCCTCACTTTCCTCTCCCACTTTATTTTTTTCATCCTGTAATTTGTGCAATAGAAATTTTACAAGGAATATAAAAAGTGCAGACATTATTCTAGCATTATGAAATGAAGATGACTTAAATCAGACAGTTGTGTTCATGTGAGATCCCTTGGGCCATTTATAGGCACCATTTAAGTTCAGAACTCCACACATGCTTAATATGTTTCTGGTGATATATATGGTTGTTACATGTAAACCTGTGATAGGAGTTCTTGCCACAAAGATGCTGTGTAACACACCAACCCCAAACTCGGTGTCTTCCAACTCTCCTTTAATTTCACATACATAGATGTACAGGCTGCCTGTGTTCATCTGACCTAGAATTGGTTCCCTTGGGTGGTTCTGCTTAAAGCTGCAGGACAAACAGGTGTGGATCCAGCCTCATCCTGAGACCAGGCTGAAAGGGCAGCAGGCACCTAGGGTATGCTCTTTTCAGGTGGTGGCAGAAATGCAGAGGGAAAGCCCAACTGCACAAACGCAATGCCCCAGCAGTGGCCCAATAATGTCACAAGGCCAATGTCAAGAGTGAGAAGGTACATTCTGCCCACCATAAGACTGTAGCAAGGGTGTGGCTAGACACCACTACTAGGGAGAGTGGAGCATTGGGAACAGTTATCTAACCTACTACACTACCAATACACCTGAAGTGTGTAGCAAGTAATCCTCCATTCTTCCCCAGCTCCCTTCCACAAATCCACACCAGGAATTCACATAAGCCATGAAGACTATGACTAATCTTTGTAGTTGGGATTCTAAATCAATAGTCTAGAAGAAAACTTCATTGAAAGTGTCATTAACCCCCTGAAATTGTAAGTATTCCCAAGCACATGGGTTCATACCTTTCTGTCGAGAGAGTCCAAAACTTTTACCAATTCTCTAAGAATTTTAGAACTACTTCTCTTGGTAGTCACATATTCACAGCCAGGAGCGGCTCTTTAGGACAGCAGCAAGACACAGATGTAGTATTAAGCTCTGAACCTGGGATATTCAATGGCCTGAACCAGTTTGCATCACAATCATCCTCCCCAGGAACTTCACTCGGAGCACCTCAGCCTAAACATCACCTCACCACACCAGTCTTCCCTGATCACTTCAATTGATATAGCTCTTCTCATTCTCAGTTACTTCCCTATGTCATCGCCCATGCTATTTCCTAGGTCTTATCTAATTTATGTATTAGTTACTTATTTTCTGTCCCCTCCCACCAGAATGCAAGCTCTGTGTCCTTATCTATCTTGTCCCCAATGTTAACATAGTGTCTAATACATAGTGGAAGCCCCATACGTATATTTAATTTATGAAATGAATGAATGAATGAATGAATGAGCATGACTGGGAAATGCTAGTTATAGCTAACAACACATCATGGAATTCATAGGTCTCTAGAGGATGCTCTCCCCAAGGTGTTTGTGGGAAGTTTTGTAAAAGTGTGTGTTAAAATGCACACACACAGTGGATGGGCTGGGAGAGAAGTAGGAGAGGGAATTAAGGTGCTTTAACCATCTGTGCTTTATTTTTCACTTGATTTGTGAGTGATTAGCTTCTAATAAAAAAGACATTTCTTCACACACACATACACAAACGTGCACATGCATGTGCACACACATACACACAAATCCCCCAGAGTCTCCTATATGTGAGTATATCTCCTAGACTTCTGGTTCTTAGCCAGGGGCAATTTTGCCCCCCAGGAGACATTGGCAAAGTCTGGAGACATTTTAAATTGTCACAACTTGGGGTGGGGGAGCTGCTGGCATCCAGTAAGTAGAGACCAGGAATGTTGCTAAATATCTTGCAATACATCCCACTTTATCACCCACTACGAAAAGTTTTCTAGCCCAATATGTCAATAGTACCAAGATTGTAAACTCTTGTTCTAGACCCAGAAACTTACACATTTACACACACATCCATGACATAGAATCCCAAGATCATCTTGGCTAGCCAAGTCTCTAATCTCTGATCAAGATATCCAGGTACTAGGCCATAATCTCATTTTTGAAATCTCTAGTTTAAAAAAGTTTTGACAAATATTTACCAGAAAACCTCTTATGAAGTCAACACTTTCATATCTATTCTCTCATTTAGGGAGTATTGCAAAATCCCGTTTTACTAATGAGGAAGCTGAGACTCAGAGAAGTTAAGTCATTTGTCAAAGTTACGCAGCTGGAAATTGCAGAGTCAGTGTTCAAACACCAGTTTCACTCACTTGTACTCAGATGTCTTTCTTCTGGCCACCAGCACTTCACTTCATGTTCTTTTTGAATAGTTTTGTTTTATGTTACTTTTCTCTGTCTGGAGAGACCCAAGCTGACTTGCTGCATATCAGTGCTCCAAAGAGCCCTCTTGTTTAGTCAACTTCCCTATGCAAAGAAAGAGATAGCACCACCCCAAGAAGCATAGTTATTTGCTGCTGCTGCTGCTGCAGAAGCTTCTATCTCTCAGTTCATCTTTATTCCTTCTTTGTATTTGTACTTGCACAATTTGGGGCAATTCCAGGTCTTTTCTCTCAACCCCAATGTCTGCCAGTCTGGAAAGTGTCATCTGAAGCCTTCCTAGATTCAGAAGAGTTTTCTGGATTGGTGTCCATAGAGGAATCCTTTGTACTATGTCACCAACAACCCAGCACCTTCCCAGGGGTGTTCCCTTGGCTCTACAGCAAGACAGCTGCACTGTAGCTACTGTGACATCCAAAGATGAATGCCATTAATGCTCCCAGTGCCACTGGGTAAATTTTTAACTCTTTCCTGCCTGTATCTTCAAGTTACACAGCTAATACACAGCACGATAAGTGTATAATCTTTCAGATTAATCTTGACAATAAGCAAACAAACAATAAATGAATGAATAATACACACATACCTAAAAATAATCTGAAAGTGTTGTTATTCTCATGGTACTTATGTTTTAATGAAGAACTTTTTATTTAGTTCATGTATTCATTCAACAAATAATTATTGAGCTTCTATGAAGCTCTCAACCCTGTGCTAGATGCTAAAGAAAAATATATAAACCAAGATAGGCAAGGCCCTATCCTCAGAGAGCTTACATTCCAGTGGCAGGTCTGGACTTTGTCATGGCCTTTTTAATGTATAATTATGAAACAGAATAAGTGAGCTGAGGAAACAGTGTGGGGGCTCTGAGAACGTTTGTCAGAGGAATTTCACTGGATCTGGCCAGGACTGGGTAGAGAGATATTTCCTAAGGAAAGAACCTGAAGGACCCTAACCATAAAGGAAGATTCTCCAATGTGAGAGTGTTCATGATATGAGGCAATTGATACGCATGGCATTGGGAGTAGGATATGTCACCCTCCTGGGGTGTCACACATTCCACATATGATAGGTGACATGCTTTGCCAAGAAGCAGAGCTGGGCTGACAGTCCAGTTTTCTAGGAGCAGTAGCTGAGTGCAGTAATTCTTAGACTTTCCACTTGCTTGTTTGCCAGAATAATTTCTAAAAGTTTGGTGTCTCTTGGCAAAGGATATCATTTTTAATATGGCAAATGTTGAATGTGTTAAACGAAACTATCACTCTTTAAAATGTAATCAATAGTAAGCATAGTAATTTCATACCTACCATCACCCATTTAAACATGAGCAAGCTCTCCTGTAACAGTCAGATATTTTACATCCCTCACAGAATTTTAAGCTCATGTAATATATTTTGATGCTTGAAAATCTTTAATTGTTCTTTTTTCTGGCTGGATAGTATTCCATGGTGCATATGTACCACAATTTCCTTATCCAGTCTATCACTGATGGGCATTTAGGTTGATTCCATGTCTTTGCTATTGTGCATACTCCTTCAATGAGCATACATAAGAATGTGGAGAGGATCAGAAAAAATAATTAATGGATATAGGCTTAATACCTAGGTGACAAAATAATCTGTACGACAAATCCTCATGACACAAGTTTACCTATGAAACAAATCTGCACATGTACCCTTGAACTTTAAATTAGTTAAAAAAAATAAAAGCGTTAATTGATTGTACCTATCTGCTACAATATGTACATAAATTGACTTTTAAATTGATGTTTAAATTTTAAATTTTGTTTAAACCTAGGACTATATGGTTCAAGTATTAAAAAGAATTTCTTCTATATGGATATATAATTATTATTACTAAGACATGGATTAAGGTGAGATACATACATTACAAATTTTGACAAATATTTATTAAGCAGAAATAATTCAATTGTATTATAAATTAATCTATTAATGAAGATGAATATGACAAATTACATGAAAGAAAGAGGATTCAGTATTGATTTTATTTCTCTTTATATTTGTTTTTATGGACATTAAATGCCCAGAAAATTTGTTCACAAAGTTAGCTACATAGAAATGGAAGCTTCTTTTTAAAACATTGTCATTCAAATCATTATTGCAACTGAGTTATGAAACAAAAACATCAAAAATATTTTTTAATGTTTTGAATTATCCTTTTGGTGTCCTGGAAGTTTTGTATGATAGTCCAATGCACAGTAATGAGACTCTCAATGATTAAAGATATGGTCTTTTGTGTTTTTTATGGGAAATGGGAGATTATTAAATAATGAGGAGAAATTGTGGGGTTTTTATCAGTTAGCACATTTTGGGAAAAGTTCATATGGAAGTTTATAATCCAAAACCAAATTTCTTTACATAGCTCTCAGAAAATACTTGTAAATCTTCAGGGAATATATACCCCAGTTTGAAGACCACTGGCTTTGAGAATCATATCAGTCTTTAATTACCTCTAAAGACTGACAATATCTTTGGTTTTTGTCCAACATGTTGACCCCCTCTTCCAATGTGGGAGAGAGGCCATCTTGGTGGATGTTATGAACACCCAACACTTTCAGGGTGAAGAGCTCCCTCCAAGATTTTTCATACCATATGCCAGTGCGGGGTGAGTTCTCCTTTGAGAATTAAACACCAGGAAGAGAACAGAGAGGATGGAATGAGAATGGATAGCACAGCTTGGTCTGGGAGGTCAAGAAATGCTTAACTGGAACAGTGACATCTAACTGAGGTACAAAAGATTAATAGGCGTCAACTGGACCAGGAAGGAAATTAGGAAAGGGAGAACATTTCAGGCAGAAAGCATGGCACAAGGGAAAGAACTGAAGAAGAGAAGGGCATGAGGGGTCTTATAAACTAGGAGGAAGAGGGGACATTTTATTCCTCATGCAATGGGAAGCCACTGGATGGTTTTAAAGGAGGAACTAACATGGTCAGATCTGAACTTCTATACAGTCACTCTGGAAACTGCTGATGACCAAGCCCCTGAAGCATAAGTGCAGAAGAGGGATGAACAAGCTAGCCTAGAGCAAAACAGGACGGCCACTGCCTCCATTCTTCTAGCCAGCAGAATGCAACCTATGATCATTACTTGGCTCTTTGCAGCCCCTTCACAGTGGACTCCAGACACTGATGTCTCCTTCCATCTCCATGCTTTTGAGTCACTTCTCTCAAACCCTGTTAGTGAACATTTGGCTTGCTAGTCCCAGAGTAGGGCTGCATAGCTCTTCGTTCTCTCTGTCCAAACCAAATTATTGATCTGTTCCTTGATTAAATTGCTTTGGTGCCTGATGACCTAGATATTTAAGTGTAATCTTCTCTCCCAGAAACTTCTCCAGATCTTTTTTATTCCCTAAATGGAATGTTGGTGGCAAGCTGTTAATACATATTTTCACCCCATTACACATGATATGATCATATGAGTTGATATGGCACCTATGGTATGTCTTGTAATACAACATAACAATATATTTGAGAGTTAGTGATAAGAAGTTCATAATGAGTGATTTATAGCCCCAAGTAAATATATATGTGATTAATAATAATTGTCATTATGAAATGCATATTTGATTACTGAAAGTCTTTTTTAGGTAGTGCTAAGTTCCAGGTTAAACTGTTTCAGTGTTTTAAAAAGTAAGATGACTCACGCCAGTTAGAATGGCGATCATTAAAAAATCTGGAGACAACAGATGCTGGAGAGGATGTGGAGAAAAAGGAACACTTTTTCACTGTTGGTGGGAGTGTAAATTAGTTCAACCATTGTGGAAGACAGTGTGGCGATTCCTCAAGGCCTTAGAAATAGAAATTCCATTTGACCCAGCAATCCCATTACTGGGTATATATCCAAAAGACTATAAATCGTTCTACTATAAGGACACATGTACACGAATGTTCATTGCAGCACTGTTTACAATAGCAAAGACCTGGAATCAACCCAAATGCCCATTGATAATAGACTGGATTGGAAAAATGTGGCACATATACACCATGGAATATTATGCAGCAATCAGAAATGATGAGTTCGTGTCGTTTGTAGGGACATGGATGAATCTGGAAAACATCATCCTCAGCAAACTGACACAAGAACAGAAAATGAAACACCGCATATTCTCACTCATAGGTGGGTGATTGTAAATGAGAACACATGGACACAGAAAGGGGAGTACTAAACACTGGGGTCTATTGGGGGGAAAAGGGGAGGGCCAGTGGGAGGGGGAGGTGGGGAGGGATAGCCTGGGGAGAAATGCCAAATGTGGGTGAAGTGGAGAAGAAAAGCAAAGCACACTGCTATGTGTGTACCTACGCAACTGTCTTGCATGCTCTGCTCATGTACCCCAAAACCTATAATCCAATAAAAAATTAAAAAAAAAAAAAGAAAAGAAAAAGTAAGATGACAAAAATACCAAATTCATGAACTATGAATAAATATTATAAGTGACAAAATAATATATTGTAGAATACTTCTGAAATGCCCTGGATTGTGGTAGGTGGAGAGGAGATGTAATTCATTTTGTTGCCTAAAAAACTTCTTAGAGTCCTTATTGTGTCATGCAAGTCTTTTAATAAATTCCCATAATATGATATACAAGTTTTCCCAAACACATTTGATCACAGAGCACTTGTACCCAGAGCACCCTGCTGATTGGCATTCTGTGGAACATGCTGCAGAAAACACAGTAGCTGGAGAATGTCTCAAGCTTTTTTCATTTCTTAGTGCCCTGGGTTTCTTAGACCCCACCTAAACCTATTAGTAAATCCCATTTCTTGGTAAGAACATCCCTCATCCCCTCTTCTACTCTCAAGTCATCTTATCTTGCAACCTCCAGTGCAAAATAACTTTTTCAAGTTTCAGTTTGAATAATGTGATCTCCTTATGGTCAAGAATCAAATCTTCCTCAACTTTGTACATTGCAGTTGCCAGTTTATGGAAAGCACTTAGTAAATAGTTGTTAAGGAATTAATAGTAACCAGAATACAGTAGATACTTTATAAACTGTAACTATTTTCATCCTTCTCCTAAAACAGAATATAAGAGATTACATAAGTGTGTACAGTGTGTTTCAGGGACTCATTGTATGGAGCTCGTTGCAAA